AATTTTCCAGGAATTTTGCTATTTCCCACTGAACTCATTGGTGCAGTCATAAATACTTAACAATATCTGCCATATTTCAAGCAACTTAAAAAAGTCCAGACGCTTTTCTTTCCAAGCTCCTTAGACTACGATGACCTGGATGACTGAGAACCTTCACAGACACCTGCCATATTCATAATACAAAATGTGCTTTGTAACATTTGTTTCTATGCAGGAGGGGCTTTATACTGTGTAATGTCTTTTTTTTTTCTCAATTTGTTTTATTTATTTATGCTTAACACTAGTGACAGCTGTGGGCCTATTTGTAGTGTTTTCATGTTGTACAAACGTCTGTTTGTGTTGGCTACAGAAGGCCTTTCTGACATTTCTGAGAATTTGGTGCAAACCTTTACTTGGGCTTTAGGAAAATCTATGTTGTTGGTCAAAGGTTAAGATCACTGTGACACCAGAAAATGTGGTACTATGAAAAAAATCTTGATGCACCTATCATTTGTTTATATTTTGCTTCCAAGGACCCAGACTTTCTTTCCTTTTAAAGTGGTCAGAAGCAAGAGTTCTCCAGGGTTTCTGTAGGTATTTCAGAATTTGTCTTTGGACATTGGCTGCTTTTTCACTTATTTTGCCTCAGCCCTTGACCTTTTTCAAAGGATATTTTGTGTTGTTGTTATTGTTGTTAAGCCACTTAACACTGACCCATGGAAAAAAAACAATAACCCCAAAACAAACCCACCTAATTCAAGGGATGTCTGCAAATAACCATCAACTTGGCAAATAACCCATTTTAAATGGTATCTTTGGGCATTTGGTAACTAGCCTGTTGCAAAAGCGCATCGTTTGTTCCCATTTATTTAGTTGAGTCTATGCCAGAGTTTAACAGCTTTTTAAATGGTATTTTTGTACTAACAAAGTGATTCTTTAAGTGGTATTAGCTGAAAACTTGGCATATCTTTAGTAGTGTGTCCTTAAAACTGTAAACTGGACAAGTGGAGGGCAGAAGAGGAAGCAGGTCTCCAAAAATGATCTACAGCAGGTGAACGGTATATGAAAGTCATGCCCCCAAGATTTGGGCTGAACTTCAGCCAGCGGTGTTGGAGAAATTGTCTAAATCGATGATACTTTTCTGCATTCATAATTCCATCAGATTGAAAACATACCTGCATAGAAAAACGCACAGAGGACGCTATCAGCCATGGATAGTGACCTCTCCGGAGCCAGGAGCTCAACATTATGATAGTAGTGTTGGGTTGTCTTGACAGAAAATGGACCAAATGCGGTCAACGTTCCAAAGAAGAGTTTCAGATGTCCCTCAGGAAGCCTGCAGTTTTACAATAAAAGGACAGTCATGTGGCCATGCTTTCACCCTGGCCTCCAATCTCTAATCAACGTATTCTCGAGTCTGTGGGATAAGTGTTTGTACCAAATTTGAAGAGATTTGCTCAAGGCTTGTAAGAAGTACATAACGAACAGAATCCAGCCAAGGTTGGTGCCAGTACAGATAAATAAAATCACTGTTACATGCTGTGTGCAGGCTTGGAGCCAGTTTGCAGGCCGTCTTGAGGATTTGGCCCAGCCTGAGAAGCTGGAGTCGGCGCTGTCCTGTCTCAACCTGCTGGTCACTGATGCTCTGCGTCACGTCCCGGATGTTATTGCCTACCTGTCCCGCCTGCGCAACCAGAGCGTCTTTAATTTCTGTGCCATTCCACAGGTATGGCAAACCCTAACATTTAAACATGTTCATTTTTTATTTTATTTTATTTTATTTTTTTCAAGCTCAGAAAACAAACTATTCTGTCCATGTCCTACAGTCTTACTGGAACATGTTTTGATTTGCGAAATGTTTGCGAAACATTTTAATATTTTGTTTTAATAATAACTTTTTCTGTAAGTGATAAACAATAGAAAATGTTGTGCTTAAATAGAGAGACCAATGAATACTGACTCATGAGAAATGATCAAACACTTCCACTTCACATGTCATTTCTCTCTTGACCAGGTGATGGCAATAGCTACACTGTCAACGTGCTACAACAACCCCATGGTGTTTCAGGGAGTGGTGAAGATCCGAAAAGGGCAGGCAGTCACTCTCATGATGGAAGCCACCAATATGAGTGCTGTGCAGACAATTATCTCCCAGTACAGCCAGGAGGTGGGTTATTTTTATTTATTTATTTTTTTTAAACTCAGTCTCTCTCTACTGCTTCCACCATATTGGTGTCCTGAATGTGCTCTCTCTCTCTCCAGATATTACACAAGGTGTCCCTCACCGACCCGTCTCGGGAAAAGACGCTCCACATCCTGGCTGTAATCCGTGAAAAGTCCGCCCTGTCGCAGTCCAGCCTCCGCTCCAGGACCCACCACCTGTCGCCCATGTACCTTTCTGCTGCTATGGTGCTCGCTGCCCTCAGCTGGCAGTACCTTAGCACTACAGCGGCACAGGCCCAAGGCACCAGTGACATGCAGAGACCTTGAACTAATTTAACCCCCACCTTTCCTGAGCCTCTATACTAAAGAAGCCCCTGTGCCCCCTCTGAAGGTCTGGTTCTAGAGGAATTTACAGATTCACTGTGGCTGTTACAGGATGATGGACACTCTAAAGTATGGCTCTGTTAGCAGGCTGGTGTCATTAAATGATTTGATCTGTAGCAGTCCATCCTGTGTCTAGATGAATTACATACACACATTGGTGTGTGTGGGTATATTTGCCATAAATGGTACACTTCCACAGTTCAGGGTGTGTTGTTTGTTTTTTTGTTTTTGTTTTTGTTTTTGTTTTTTTTTTTGTGGGGGGTTACCAACAACCACCACCACTTGTTCAATCTTCTTTTTTTCTTTCTTTTCTCATATCACATCAAACCTAGCTCCATATTCCATTTATGTTTCTCTAGCAGAGACACTAAAAAGTTACATTGGTGCGCTCTGCAGCGTTTCTGCTGTATGTTCGACGGCTTCCAATCACAGTAGAACCTTTTCGGTCCTTTTCTGTGTGTTAATCTGTTTCATCGTTGTTGTTTTTTTTTTTTTTTTTTTTTTAAATTAAGGAAAAACAATTATGTGCAATATCAGGGTAGATTTTATTACAGATGAAAAGGGGAAAATGGATGTATTTTCAGGTCCTTTTTAGCATCAGCAAAAGAGGGAAGAAAAAGGCATACTGAGACTGCTAGCTAAGTGTCCTTAACACTGCTTTGGTGCGTTGAAAGGCTAGCACAGAGTAACTTTGTACAGAACCAAAGGAGAGCTAAAAACATTGCTATGTAATGTGACATTTTTGATTTGTACATATTTGAAGAAATAAATAACAATTAATCCAGTATTTTGGGTGATTTCATGTTTTGATGCAAAGTTTAAGTGTGTGTGTGCGTGCGCGTGCGTGCGTGTATGGGAGAAGTTCATACATATTAAACAAAAAATTAAGATTCAGAAGGTTGATGGTTAAATAAAGGAAACAAAGCTGCATCTCGTTATTGACGTATAATTTTAAGAGCTTGGTCAACCTTTGGAATGGCAGGCTTATAGTCACATGAGACATGCAGGTGCATTTATTACACAGGCATGTGATCAACAACTTGGGTCTTATAAGAAGGGTAACTGGAAGGTTTGAGTCAGAGAGAAGAAGAACGAACAAAAAGATCTACTAAAACCGCAACCCAGGTAAAAAAATTAAGACATTTTGGCAAATTTGCTGATTTTTTTTTTTTCTTGAACATATGAGTTCAATATGCATCTGGATTAATACTTTATGATTGTCTTTTAAGCTGAAGTTTTCATTTTTTGTTTTTTTTGCTTGAATCAATGTACATATGTTAAATCTAGCTGCAGTTCTGATTCATCTGATAATATGAATGTTCTTTTAAACTTCATTTTTTTCTTTATAAATTGGATTAAAAGTATCATTTATCATTAATTGTCGCTCTAATTCTTAAAGTCAGTGTTAGATATATTTCAGAAAGACTGTTTCTAATAACCAAGTTCATTGCATTCATACATGACCCAGTTCCTATGTACAGAAATGTATTTGCAACATTACTGCAAAACACATGTTGGTTATAAATAAAGGAAATGGCCTCTTTCCTTATTCCCTTTCCTTGTAACGCTCTACTCAGATGCGCTTTTGTGTGCATGTAAACAGTTTCCTGGTCACCTATGATTATTGATGTCTGTTTTGCAGGATGAGTCCGCTGTTCCTCTTCTCTGTAGTGGTGATGGTGTCCACCACTTGGGCGCACCCTCACCACTCCCTTCTCTCCTCTGAGATGGTTGATTTTATTAACAAGGCTAACACTACCTGGACGGTGAGACCATGCAGTCAGTTTTTATGGATATTTCCACATCTTAGGAAGCTGTTAACAACCCGTAAGCGATGATTTCTCTGCTCCAATTTCCTTTTCATTTGCTCCAGGCCACAAAGAATTTCCAGAATATCGATTCCACCTATGTCAAACAGCTGTGTGGCACCATACTGAATGGACCCAAGCTACCAGAGGTGTAAGTTTATCAGGTGGTTTGCACAGCTGGTCACATGAGATGACATGTGACAGTCGGCAGGTTGAGCTAATCTGCAGTGATTCTGTTTTCTCTCTTGTTTAGGCTTCATAATATTGAAGGCAATAAACTTCCTGACAGCTTTGACGCACGCAAACAGTGGCCCAACTGTGCCACAATCCAACAGATCAGAGATCAAGGCTCCTGTGGGTCCTGTTGGGTATGACACACCAAGAAATTAAAAATACACCACTACCAAATAGAGGAGATAGGGTGGGACATTAAAAAAAATCATTACCAACTTCCATGTTCTCAGTGTTCCCGGTTTGATTTTTACACAGGCCTTTGGGGCAGCTGAGGCAATATCTGACAGGTTATGTATCCAAAGTGGTGGTAAGATCTCTGTGGAGATCTCCGCTGAAGATCTGCTGGCCTGCTGTGATGAATGCGGCATGGGGTGAGCATTAGTAATGGCTCGTGTATATAAGTAAATGGGCTGTTCATTAATTCTACGCATGAAGTTTTCATGGAAAAGTTTTTTTTGGAGAAACAGTGATGGTTTATAATTACAGTCTTCAAAAATCAAATGAGGTAAATCAGCTATAATATAACTCATGGTGCACATTATGTCTTTTCGTGTTTGATGTAGCTGTTTTGGTGGCTTTCCGTCTGCTGCTTGGGAATTCTGGGCAAAGAAAGGGCTTGTCACAGGAGGCTTGTATGACTCTAAAGTTGGTAAGTCCATTATTAACTTGCTGAATTCAGTTTAAGCAGTTTTAGGGAGGAGCAAAAGACTTGACTTAAATGGACTGACAGTGACTGTTTATTACAGGCTGCCTACCCTACACCATCGCCCCCTGTGAGCATCATGTGAATGGAAGTCGTCCTCCGTGTGGGAGTTCAGAGACTCCTAAGTGTGTGCAGCAGTGCATTGATGGATACTCACCATCATATGAGAAGGACAAACACTTTGGTACAGAGAACTAAAATAAACTCTACACCCTCCTAGCATTGGTTTATTTTGTTGTTGCAATCCTTGATGTTTCCTGTATGTCCCTCTTCAGGCAGACGCACATACGGCGTCCCGTCGGACCCGGATCAGATCATGACGGAGCTGTACAAGAACGGGCCTGTGGAGGCAGCTTTCACTGTTTATGAAGATTTTCTGCTGTATAAGAGTGGTGAGGTTTATGTATTTAATTCAAGTAATGTCACTCTATATGAGTAACGTACTTCTTTGTCTCAGTTTAATATTGGGCAACTGTTTGAGAGCAAGCAAGTCGACCACTAATCTGAAAAAGCTCCACAGACACTTTAGAACGCCCGTCAGAGAATGTGTACTATTCAAAAGAGGAACAACCTTCTTCTGCTTTAATGAGGGTTTTTTTTTGCTGTAGGTGTGTATCAGCATGTGACAGGGGATATGCTGGGCGGTCACGCCATTAAGATCTTGGGCTGGGGTGATGAGAACGGGACACCCTATTGGCTGGCTGCAAACTCCTGGAATACTGACTGGGGAGATGAAGGTATGGATGAACGTGTGAGGCACATAGCCGGTGTCACATACAGGCCTTTGTCTCACAAAGTGCTGAAGACGAGTGGGAATGCTGGCCTAAAACTGTGTCGTCCTCTGTTGTCTTCTTATTTCAGGTTTCTTCAAAATCAAGCGTGGAAATGACGAATGTGATATTGAGTCAGAAGTGGTTGCAGGAATCCCGCTCAACTAGATGAAATAATCATCACAGCAGACAATCAAGAAATAAAAAGAAAAGAAAAAGAAAAGACAGACCTCATTCTGGGGCAGATTTTTGACAAATTTCATGCAATAAAGAGGGAATAAATTGTTGTGTCTTGGTCTTTATTTGAAAATTCTTTACCATGATTTCCAGGTCCCCCCCCCCCAGTAAACTACAAAAAAATTAAACTAAAAAATGAAAGATTAAACATGGATGAAGCTCCAGCGTCTGTGAGGTGGAGATGGGGAGGAGGTGGGTTGCATGAATGGGAGTCTGTAAGCGAGAATGACAGTGCTGAGTCTGACAACGTGAGAAAAAGTAGTGGAGTCAAGAAGAGACTAGTAGCGGCCAAACAACCCAGGAAAGCAGGCAGATGAGTGACTGCGGATCTGCCTTATTGAAACTGCGCATAAGCTTCATTAGAAAGTTAGATGAGATTATATGAACCTTTTGACACTTTGCATGAAGAAACATGGTTATGTTTTAGCATTCAAAATTTAGATAATTATATTCAGAGATATATACATATTATCTAGCATTCTAGCTTTAGTTGGGATGATGACATTGCCGATTTCATATACTATGTATTGAACCGGTAATTTATAATAATGATAATACCAATATAATACCATGACTCCTTAAATTAAAGGATACTACAGCAAAAGAAAATCAAAAATCACACATCCAAATAGTCCTCCTTTGATGTTGCAGCTTATTTTTGACTGTGGTGAGAAATGTGATCTGCTACAGTGTTAACAGTGTTTTAAAAACCATGTGCTTGACAAGATTTAAGATGTTTTGAATTTTACTGGATGCCCTTCTTTCACAATTTGTGGTAGACCCATCCAATGGCAATTCCTATTGTACACTAAAGGAAAAAAGCTGAAAAAGTTACAACACAAACTTTTAAATGAACTGTGAGTTACAGGACAATATCAAGACATGTTTCTAGCAGGGCCCAGCAGAGGTTGGTGGCAATGCACATACAGTTTGGACCGTGTGTGCGTGTGTAATTTTGCCTCTGCACACTACTACGGAAGATTTTAAATCAAACAATCAGACAGATGCGAGTGGAAGTGAGGGACACTGTCATAAGCTTGAAGAAACCAAAGCATGAAAGAGCACAAAATACCACCAAAGTGGATGATCACAGAATTATTTCCATGGAAATGAAAACACCTTCACAACAACTCGCATAGTCAAGAAAACTGTTGACGAGGCATAAATATCAAGGTGTACAATCATTCCTTTTTGCACTTCAATCACAATGACTGATTTAAAATCCACTGTGGGGTTGTACACTGTGTCTGCCCAACAAAGTATGGACCTAAATGTAAAAAGATACAGAGGGGTGCTACGAAACAGGAATAAGGAACAAGTGCATTTAAAAGAGTAGCATTAAAAGAAAAAAAGGGATACAATAATATCCAGCTAACCCTGGATATGTCTACAGGGGTAAAGTTAGGATTACACAACATAAGGCACTTGTTGGAAGAGGGAGTGGAGAGAAATAAAAAGCTCTGGGCGGCTAGTGACACAGAACGCAACAACTACTTAAATTATTCAGTTAAACTTTGGTCCAGCTGTACTACTGCCAGCAATACAACCTTGGATACTTTATGACAACACCGTAGATTTCACTTATCTTTATAATTCACATACTGATGTGTGCAGAGGTATAAAAGAATAGAATTGCTGTGGCATTTATTATTCTGAAGTTTCATCTCAACGTAAGGAGCAGTGTTTATGACTATGCACAAGAAAAAATACTTAAAATATCCTTTTAAGAGAAAACAACGTAATTTGAATTTGATGACAGTAAACGAGTTGGGGCACCGTCATGTTTACTACTATAGCATACCCTTTTCTTTTAATAAAAGATATAAAATATATAAAAGATAGAATATCTGGGAATTGAGGAGACCACCTCTGGAATGTTGATGAAGGATTCTAGCGGAACAAAAAATCCTTGGTCTTCTTTGATGCACCAAATGTTTTTAGCTGGTGAAAGATCTGGACTGCAGGCGGTTAACCTGACCACCAAAACTTGTCCGCTACAAACCCAGGCTGTTATAATAGCTGCAGAATGTAGTTTAATATTGTCTTGCTGAAACATACAAGGCCTTCTCTGAAAAAAGATGTTATCTGGATGGAACGTGTGTTGCTTTAAAATCTGTACATACGTGTCAACACTGATTGACCCTTTCTATTTGTGCAAGCTGCCAGTTCTATCGGCCCTAATTCACTTTCTTAACAACAGAGATGCAGCATTTAAGCATTGAGTACAGCCAGCAAGTTGGATGGTCCCTCCCCTCTGTAGTGCAGCGTCTATATTTTTTCAAATATTTGAAGTAATTTTACGAGATTTCTTCCTTTATTTAAACGCAAACGTTTATTTTGCAATGATCCTGATGAAGGCCACAAGCCGAAACGCTTTGGTCAGCTAATAAAGTTTTTTCATAATGCTTCAAGTGTCGCTGGAGTCTTCATGCCACACAGCATTTTTTTTACTTTGCTTCAGTCCAATTTAAAAGAACTGTTTTCATAATAGATGGCAGCATCCCATAATGTTCACGTCTGGCTTCTTCTTTACATGGTAGAGCTTTAATCTGCATTTGTGGATGACATGGTGAACACAGACAATCGTTTCGGGAAGTTTCCTGAGTGCATGCAGTGGCCTCCATGACAGAATCATGCCTGCTTTTTAATGTGGTGCTGTCTGGGGGCCTGAAGATCATAGTTCCAGATATTTACAGTTTTATATTGATGATAATTTTGAAACAGTTTTTTTGCAGATTTGTGAACCTCTGACCAGGGTTAATTATGAGAAGCTCTGCCTCTCTAAGATGTTCATTTTATACCTAATCATGTTACTGACTAGCTGCAAAATGTTTCTCCAGCTGTTTATTTTTAGTTTCCCCTTCTCATTTTTTGAGACATCCAATAAATAAAAAACGAGCCAATTTTTTTTTTCATGATACAGTAAAATGTCTCGGTCCAAGCTCCACACCAGCTGGTGGCGGTAATGCAATAATTTATTGTTTACCCAAAATAAAAGAAGAACGCCTGCGCGCTCTAGAGCTCAACAGTAGATGCTGGCGATGAAGGCATTAAACATTAGTCCATTTCATTCTGTCCTGTCATGTTTCTGACTCATGCGGAGGTATGGAGGACATACTGGGAGTGCGTTTTCACGCCGTACACGGTGATCATCTGCTCCCTCACAGCCGCACTGTACTATCTCTGGGGCCGCAAGTGTCAGGTCAGATTCCGTGGTTACTTTATACCATGATGTTTCCTTTTCACTATGCTACTTTCCAATTAGTTAAAAAAAAAACTTTTTAAAATTAATATGTTTTGTTCAAAAAGGTCTACTTTACCCCTCAGCTGAGTCTTGTACGCTTTTGCGATATATAAAATTAAGTCTGTTTGGTAAAGGAAAAAAAAATAAAATTAAACCGATCACACCACCGATCACAACTAAGGCTCAAGTTAGTCATCAGTCAACAGTAGCCTCCAGCAATCATGTAACCAGCAGCACTGGGGAGGACCCTGACTTTGCAGTGGATGAGCTCATGCAGATCAAACTTTTGGAGGTACTCCTGTTTCTCTGGCACTAAAAAGAGGTCATTCATCAGCTTGTGCAACAACACTGTATTTATGGACAAAGGTTGCCAGTTACATGTTAATCTTTGAGTTCTGGTGCCTTCAGGCACAGGTGTATAAAATAAAGCACCTGTATGGGTCGTTCTGAAGATTTCGTGAACTCAAGCGTGGTGATGAAATGGGATCTCGCCATTTCCTTCCTCCTATATATTCCACAATCAACAATCGGTGGTTTTCACACAAAGTGGGAGTGTTTGGGAACCACAACAACGTAGCCAAGAAGTTACCGACCAGGTAAATTAGAGATAGGGGTCGCGTAAAAGACTGACTGTGCCATCACAAAAATATGTAATGTTTGAGTCCACTCGAAAATTGCCAAACAAAAGGAAATGTGTTTGTGACGAGTTTTTCGATCACCCTTTGCACCTAATGTCTCTCCTGTTTCTTTGCAATTAGACGGACATGTTTGCACTTCTATAACACTGGGTGCTTTTTCTGTGAGCTTATTTATCATTGATTGATTGATTGATTGATTGATTGATTGAATCTTTATTTTGAACATGTTAAAAAAGTACAACAACATAGAATTAAAAGAGACAAATAAACAAAGCAAAACAAAAAGAAAACGAGCAACCACAACTACAAATATCTTTTATGTTCAAAAAGGAGCAGGAAGAAGCATGAGCTTATTTAATCCCACCCCTTTTCCACTATCTAGTAACTTATAACCCCTTTTCCACTATCTAGTAATTTATAGACTACCGAAATACCTCCTTGCAATCACATTATATGTCATGTGTATTTTTTTTAATTTTATTTTTTTTATTTATTTTATTTTATTTTTTTATTTTAATTGACTTTGTTGTGTGACCTGTAAACAGGACCCGCATTTGTTTATGTGATACCATTGTGAGCCAGCAAAATGTGCCCCATCTAAATCAACAATAGCTTTGATACTTTATTCCACAAAATTAAAGTCTCTCTTTTATTGATTTCATAAAATTTGAAGAAGATTATGGGTATGAGTAATAATTTGGTAACAGACAGTATATCAACTATATTCATATTAAGCATTGTTCTAAAGTTTAAGTACTTTAAGTTTAAGTATTGGCAGCTGAAGAATTTATCTATGTAAAAAATGCCAAAAAATAAGCAAATATAACAAATTTCTGCACAGACTGTATCAAAGGGAAAAAAGGAGTTTTGATCTAAGACTTATTTTCTGTATGTCAGCCACTCACTGATTACATGTTATTGTGTGACATCACATTAAAGTTTCCAAGTGCAGAGCTGGTATTATTCAGCACACTGACACTGCATCTACATACCACTGATACTGCCATTATTTTCTTTGTACCTTGTTCTGCTCGCCTGGTGTGTTTTGGATGTTTTCTTGTCTCTTACAGGTGTGAATCTATAAGCAGCTGTGTTTTTATAACGCCTTCACCTGGTCTTGTGTCCTTTCAGAGACCAGCTCTGGTTTGCAGTGAGGCCTTTAGTGCATTCCTCTACAAGCACTGTCCTGTGGTAGCTGAGCGCTTCAGTCCCACTCCGTGGTGCTGGGGAGGCCGGCTTCAAACGCTGGTCTTTGCTGTCCTCAAATCCAGACCCCCTGTCAGTTATCGCAAGTAGGAAGAAACCTTCTTTTTTCAGTTCACCACTATTTACAAGAGGGTTAAAAATCTTAATCTAAACATTTAATTAAATAATGAATATCTTGTCTTGTCCCTTCATCTCCCAGTGAGCTGATCCGTACAGTGGATGGTGGTCAGATCTCTCTTGACTGGTTGGACAATCAGGCCAGTGTGACCTACCCAGAATCCTCCACGCGTCCCACAGTGCTCATCCTCCCCGGGATTACAGGAAACAGCCAGCAGTCCTATGTGCTTCACGCCATTAGCCAGGCCACACGCCACGGTTACAGGTCAGCTTCACTCCTCACACAAAATGAAGTGATCTTTAAGCAGCCCTAACAGGAAAGTTTACATTAAGCAGGAAGCTTAATGTAGCTTGTGCCTGTTATTTGCCTGAATTAGTTTTCATAAATACTTTCCTTCCTAGATGTGTGGTCTTCAACAACAGAGGTCTTGGAGGGGAGGAGCTGCTGGTAAGTACAATGAATACCTAATAAATTTATAGTTAAGTAAAATCTAAGTAAAAACTGCCAAAACACTGTTTAAGAAAGAAGCTCATGTTCCAGAATGAACACCTTCAAGCTTGACTGAAATTTGCCCTCATGGAGAAGCTAAATGCCTTCTGGAGAAAACATTATGGTCAAATATTTCAAATATGAAAACACTGTCTGGGGTTGTTTTCCTGCCAGTGGTGCGGGCACATTAAACAATGTGGATGGAATGCTTCTAGTGTATCCAGAGAGTACGCACAGTGCTTCATTTGTTCCACTTTTTTCATGTTACAGCCTTATTCCAAAATTTTTATTTTTCACCACAAAATTCTGCAAAGTAGAACACCCAA